TGGGTTTTGACCCGCCCAAGTTTACTTTGGGCTCAAATGGGCTTAAAAGCGGGTTGGGTCTTGACTCGCTTAATCTCAATAATTTTAATATATTGTTATTTAAGTTTTATAACCACCATTTGAATTTCAACTCAAGAAAATTATTTTTAAAAAAAGTTACAAATGGATAGATAAATCCGAAAAGATATAAAATAGATAGTAATTCATACCTTTAAATAGTAACATACATTACATCAATGAAAATAAAGAGTCTTAAAACGGGTTGAAATTGGAGATTAAATTGGGCTCAATTGAGAATTCTCTTAAAATGGGTTAAGACTTGATGGGTTGAGATTGAACCCCATTCAAATTATCTTAAACTCAACCCTTCAAATTATGAGCAGATTAATTACCTATAGTTGGGCTCATTTTTGACGCCCCTAGTTTCTTTCTTATATATTATGAGCTTGCCCTCTTTTTATTCAGTTTTGTTTAATTATTGACTGAATTAATTCCTGAACTCCAAGTTAGAATAAATACTAGCTATAAATACACCCATAGAAATATACTTAGCAGATGATAGGATCATACAACCTATAGAAAAAAGTATAATAAGTGCAGTAAAAGGTAACTTTATATACCAAAAATTTAAATTCATAATAAGTGCTAACTACTCAATAGCAATAAATGACAGGAATATAGATAAATCGCTAGTATTATTTTGGAAAATGTCAGGGATAGAGCTAGCCCCAGGAAGTAAATATTTACAACTAGATGTAAAAACTTGTATGTTTTAACAACAAAACATAAGATAACAGCAAAAAATAAAATAAAAAAAATAAAAATAGAAAATCCTTTTGAGAGAATAGTTACAGTCATAGATAATAATGACTATAGTTATAATGAGATTGACATAAAAGAAGATTTAGAAATAGTAAAAGAAAGATTAAGCACATAAAAAAGAATAAACTATGAAATACCCCAAATATCATAAAAAATGAGTACCTCAAGAAGAATAGATAAAACTCCACAAAAATCAATAGAAGAAGAAATAAAACCATATCATTATTACATAACGGGAGTAATGGAGCAACAAAAATATCTAATATTAATAAATACAGGACAAGAAGAAAACTATATTACAAGAGAATTAGTAACAGAAGATGAAATAATTACTACTGAAGAAAACTAAAAGCATGGCGAATTCCGTAGTAACTATCTTCTAATTTTACTGTTTCTTTTTCTAACGTTAAACTTAGATTGTCACCTATTTTCTTATATCTTCTTCCTAGATTAGAAAATATTATCTTTATTTTTAGTCCGTTATAGTTTTCATATGTTTTTTCATCTATTGCGTACTTTTCTTTATTCATTTATAAATTGTGTTGTAGTTTATATTCTAAGTTTTCTATTTGTATTTGTAGATATAAAATAGTTTTTCTCTGTGCTATTATAGATTTTTTACAAATTCTGCAAATATATTACTGTTAAGTCTATTTTGCCTATGTCTCAATTCTTGTCTTTTTGCTATAATTATTTCAGTAAGTTTTTGTCTATATTCGTTATACTCGTTATACATTGTATCTTTAAATATTGAATATATTTATATTCTATTTTAGATATATTATCTATTAATTGATCTAATTTATCGTTATCAGTTTTTGTGATATTGAGTTGTTTATATTCTAGATACCATTTTTTTGGTTAATTTTCTTCTTATTTTTCTACTAATATATATTTTTTTATCCATATCTCAAAATTACTTTAAAACACCTTAAATAAATCAATCCATAAGCTGAAAAGATATTTTGGGTAAGCTAATTATAATGGTCCCTTGCTCATTTATTAGTAACTCCACATGGTACGGGGTTAAGCTGCAACCACATATCGTTTTTTTTTTTTTTGGTTTTCACATTGGAGCTCGACTGAATTCGAATTCGCGCCGAAAAGTCCCACATTGGGGGGTAAAGCGCTCCCAACAAAGGTGACTCCGTACCCAAGGGGGCTCAAACCCGAGACCTCTTGGTTAAGGATGAAGGAGTACTTACCACTCCATCACAACCCTTGTTGGTGCAGCCACATATTGTTACAACAAATTAAAAATAACTTTTAACGATAATAAATATACTCATTAACAAAAAGTAATAAAGTCTTTATTGATATTAATTAATTGTCATTGGATCCACGGTCGATATATGTTTTAAAGTCATTTGCAAAATATGTTAAATGCAGCTAAAAATATATTTTTAGCGCCAATTACACAAGAATTGAAAAGGATAGTTTTATAAATTATATTTATGCAAAGAATTTACTATTAAATGAACATATTATCTAATATTTGACGGAAGAACTTATCTAATGTTGCAGTAGCTTACGTTTTTGTGCTATTTGGGAAAAGTCACCAAAGTTAGCAAGCACATGGTATGCTAGTCGTACAATTCCAACGTGTTCTATTTCTGCGGTGATAAAGAAAGGTGTCAACAACGTAAAATAATGAACATAATTTTATTTTTACAAATATTTTGTTCTAAAATATATTTTCTTATTTTTCTTATTATTTTAACTTTTTTTTTCTTATGAATATTATTTTTTGTTTCTTTCTATTTTTTTCTTCAAAATTCATTGTCATCTCTATTGAACTTCCTCATTTAATTTCAATGTCACAATTTTTACCACATGTCCACCCTCCCTCTTTTATTACGACTCCCTTTGTCCCTAATTACTTGTTCACTTTTTTTTAGTTGTCCCTAATTACTTGTCTATTTTGACAAATCAAGAAAGGACAATTTTTTTCACCTATTATACCCTCAATTAATTACTTTGAAAAATGTAAAACTTCTTGAAAATCTTAAAATTTTAATTCACCCACTTCATAATTAATAAGGGTAAAATGGTAAACTCACTATGACAATCATTGTTTTCTTAATATGTGTGTCAATTCAAAAGTCGACAAGTAATTAGGGACAGAAGGAGTATTAGTTTAACTCTCTTCAATTTTAAAACTTTATATAAATATTCTTTTACATTTTGAAAATTTTGATAAACCCACTAGATATCAAGATGATTGTAAGGTATCATTTACTTATTTTATTTGAATTTCAATCAAGCTATTCTTATTTTTGGAGAATTCATTGATTCTTTCAAATTTATCATTTTTAATTTTGAAAGTTATATGAAAACGAGATAAATTAATTGATGATACCTTTAAAATTTTAAAATTTCTTAGAAAAATAATTAATTTTGTTATCAATAACTCAACAAAGTCTAGAAAATAGTATGATATTTTTTTAAAAATCACCGAAGAAAAGAAAGTTGGCTAAAGAAGAAGAAAAAAAACGAAAATGAGAGAGGAGCTCAGCTTGAATGTGGGGTGGGGGTGAGAGGCGAAGAAAAAAGAAAGAAAATGGGGGTGGGGGTCAGCTTGAACGTGGGGTGGGAGTTGAAGTGAAATTTAAGGAGAATTCAAAATTAAAGTAAAAGAAAATAAATTAAAAAGTAAATGAGAAAAAAATAAAGAAAAACCTAAAATAAAAAAATATATATTATACTCCCTCCATTTCATATTAATTGAATTTTTGAGGTGTTTCACACCCTTTAAGAAAAGTAGATTAAGAAATAAATTGAACATAGTTTTCCATTTTTATCCTTATTAATTATTGTCAAATTTATGATTAAAATAACTAAATATTAATTAATCACTAATTCCAATACTAACTAATGAAGGGTAAAATTGGAAGAACATTCTAAATGTAGTCTTGAAAACTGAACAATTAAGTTAATTTGAAAAATTAAAATGTCTCAACAATTCAATTACTCCATGGAGGGAGTAAGTTAAATTAATATGTGTCACATAATGATTGGTGTGTGATAATATTTGCTTTTCAAAATCTGAAAGTAATTAAAACGCGATATAATAGTATCATTTCCAAATTATTTAATGGAGTAATTAAATTCCATATTGTGATTTGATGTATACCACCAATCAAGGAGTTGCAATTGTAGTCTAAAGCTAGTATAAAACCCAAAACAGTGACAAGAAATCCACAATTTTCACTCAACTATAACCTGCATTTAAATCATGAAACCATCAATTTAAACCCAATCCCCAACGTTCCTTAATTTCCATTTAATAACTCCCCAGTCATTACCTAATAATTATCACCCTTTGTAACAATAAACATATGCATTATACAATTCACAACTCGCCTGAAAGGAAAGTTGTTTTACCTGGAGTCTGCGGTTTCTCTTCTCCCCGCACACGTTTTGCCTAACTCTGTTACTGGTGTTACGCTAATCACCCAATTAACTTAAATCAATTCATGGGCCAAGTGTTAAAAGGGTATTAAACAAAGGAAAAATTACAGAAATCTCACATTTTAAGTTTACTTATTACCATTATCCCCTATAAGTTTTACAAATCTCCAAAATCTCTCATTTTCGTGCATTAGATTAGTGTATCAGCGCTTATATTATTGTATCTCGCGCATCATATTAATGTATCACCGCTTATATTATTGTATCCCACGCATCAGATTAATGTATCAGCACTTATATTATTGTATCACGGGCATGTATCAGCGCTTATATTATTGTATCTCGCGCATCAAATTAATGTATCAACGCTTATATTATTGTATCCGTTTGAGGGATTTCTGTAATTATAAACTTTTAAGGGATAAATTGTAATTTTGTCTTAGAAGTATGTGATTTCTGTAATTTGCCCTTAAACAAATTATGTACTTGGCCCATTAACTATCAACTATTAGTTATTTGCTAAATACTCGTAATTATCGAATAGTTTAAAATTTTCATTTAAATTTTACAGGAAGAGTCAAAATAGTCCTAGTTCTCAAAACGACCTAGCGGGTCATTACATCACCTACCACTTAAACAAACGTTAGTCTTTGAACGGAAAAAGAAAAGAACTCACCTGAACGCTAAAAAAGCTGAGGATATCTACTCCTCATGTCTGACTCTGTCTCTTATGTAGCCTCCTCCACTGGACGATGCTTCCATTGAACCTTTACTGAAGCAATCTCTTTCGACCTCAACTTTCGAATTTGCCTATCCAAAATGGTTACTGGCTCCTTCTCAAAAGTCAATTTTTGCTCAAGTAACACCGAATCCCATTGAATCACATGAGCACCACCCTGATGATTACTTTTTTAACATCGAAATATGAAATACGAGATGAACACCCGACAAACCAGGTGGCAAAGCCAACTGATACGCCACCTCACCAATACGCTCTCTACAATCTCGAAAGGACCAATATACCTTGGGCTCAACTTGCCTTTCTTTCCAAATCTATTCACACCCTTCATGGGCGAAACTTTCAATAGAACCCGCTCTCCCACCATGAACTCCAAATCGCGAACCTTCTGATTTGCATAACTTTTTTGCCTACTCTAAGCCATGAGAAGCCTATCTTGGATCAACTTGACCTTGTCCAAGGACTCCCTCAACAAATCTGTACCCCACAGTCTAAACTCAAATGCATCAAACCAACTAATTGGAGATCGACATCTCCTACCATACAAAGCCTCAAATGGTGCCATCTCAATGCTCGAGTGGTAACTATTATTGTAAGCAAACTCCGCTAAAGGCAAAAATTGATCCCAGTGACCACAAAAGTTGATCAGACATGCCCGCAACATGTCCTCAAGAACCTGAATAGTCCGTTCAGACTGACCATCAGTCTGAAGGTGAAAGGTTGTGCAAAGATCCACCTGAGTGCCCAACTCATTCTAAATAGACCGCTAGAAATGAGATGTAAATTGTGTGCCACGATTTGAAATAATAGAAACAGGAACCCCATACAAACTGACTATCTCTCGAATATAGATCTTGGCCAACTTCTCTGAATTATAGGTAGTCTGAACTGGTACAAAGTGTGCAGACTTAGTCAATCGATCCACGATGACCCATATAACATCAAACTTACCCAAAGTACGTGGCAAACCTACCACAAAGTCCATAGCAATACGCTCTTACTTCTACTAAGGTATAGGCATCCTCTGAGTCACACCTCCAGACTTTTGGTGTTCATACTCACTTGCTGACAATTTAAACACCGAGATATAAAATCTATTATGTCCCTCTTCATACGACACCACTAATAATGTTGCTTCAAGTCACGATACATCTTAGTAGCCCCCGAATGAATAGAGTACCTCGAACTATGGGCCTCCTCCATGATCAATTTAGTCAATTCACCGGTCGGAGGAACACAAATATGACCTTTTATCCACAAAACTCCCTTACTATCAAGAGTTGCATCCTTGGCTTCTCCTTTTGACACCTTGTCTCTAATCTTACATAAATCACCGTCATCAAACTGTTGAGCCTGAATCTGCTCCAACAAGGATGACCTAGCCTCCATATAAGCCAATACCTTACCAGATTCTGAACTATCAAGCCTCACTAAGCTATTGGCCAAGGATTAGACATCCTTAGCTAAAGGGCGCTCGCCAGCCTGCAATAAGGCTAGACTACCTATACTTACCGCCTTCCGACTCAAGGCATCTGCTACCACATTTGCCATACCCGGATGATAAATAATAGTCAATTCGTAGTCTTTGAGCAACTCCAACCATCTCCGTTGCCTCAATTTGATATCCTTCTGATTGAATATATACTGGAGACTACGATGATCCGTGAACACCTCACAATGCACACCATAAATATAATGCCTCCAAATTTTCAATGCAAACACAAAAGTCGCCAACTCCAAATCATGAATAAGATAGTTCTTCTCATGAACCTTCAACTGCCTTGAAGCATAAGCTATCACCTTCCCCTTCTGAATCAATACGCAACCAAGACCAATTCGAGAAACATACAACAAAACCCTCTCCCTCCATGAGTAGGGTCAAAATTGGAGCAGTAGTCAATAAAGTCTTGAGTTTTTGGAAACTCACCTCACACTCGTCAGACCACTGAAACGTCACTTCCTTTTGGGTCAATCTAGTTAATGGGGATGCAATGGACGAGAACCCCTCTACAAATCGTCGATAATAACCTACAAGGCCTAAGAAACTCCGAATCTCAGTAACTAAAGCATGTCTGACCTAATCTCGAACTGCCTCAATCTTCTTAGGATCCACTATAATACCTTCCTTAGACACTACATATCCCAAGAATGCTACCGAACTAAGCCAAAACTCACACTTTGAAAACTTTGCATAAAGCTTCTTCTCCTTCATAATCCCAAGCACAATCCTCAAATGATGTTCGTGTTCCTCTTTACTGCAGGAGTATATCAATATATTATCTATGAAGACACTAACAAAGAAATCCAAGTACGGTCTGAACACTCCGTTCATCAAGTCCATAAAAGTTGCTGGGGCATTAGTCAATCCGAAAGACATCACCAAAAACTCGTAATGGCCATAACGTGTTCGGAAAGCTGTCTTAGGGATATCCTCCACCCTAACCTTCAGCTGATGATAGCCGGATCTCAAGTCAATCTTGGAGAAAATTGAAGCACCCTGCAGTTGATCAAATAAATCATTAATACGAGATATCTGGTACTTATTTCTGATGGTTACCTTGTTCAACTGTCGATAGTCAATACACATACACATAGATCCATCTTTCTTCTACACAAATAACACTGGAGCACCCTAAGGAGATACACTCGGTCTAATAAAACCCTTGCTCAACAAATCCTGCAACTACTTTTTCAACTCTTTCAATTCAGTCGGTGTCAGGCGATAAGAAGAAATGGAAATAGGTTGAGTGTCTGGCTCAACATCAATACAAAAATCAATATCACGATCAGATGGAAGACCTGGTAAATCTGTCAGAAATACCTCCGAAAATTCACTCACCGCTGGAATAAACTCAAGCATAGGAGTCTCAACACTAGTATCTCGAATTTGCGCCAAGTAAGCCAAACATCATGTCTTTACCAAGTGACGAGCCTTAAGAAATGATATCATCCCCTTAGGAGGGTGACTAAGAGAACCTCTCCATTTTACTATAGGAATTCCAGGCATAGCTAATATAACTGTCTTGGCATGACAATTTAAAATTGCATGGTAAAGGGATAACCAATCCAAACCAAGAATCACGTCAAAATTTACCATATCTAAGACCTTTAAATCTGCATGAGTGTCATATCCCATCAAGGTAACAATACATAGTCGATACATCCGATCTACCACTACAAAATCCCCAACAAGAGTAGAAACATGTACCAGCAAATCAAGAGAATCACATAATATATCCAGACTCGAAGCAAAATGTGTGGACACATAAGAATAAATAGAGCCTAGATCAAATAATACAGTAGCTGGTCGATGACAAACCGGAATAATACTTGTGATAACAACATCTGAAGTCTCAGCCTTTGGCCGACACAGAAAATCATAACAGTGAGAACGACCGCTCTCAGATTGTGAACCTCCACGACCACCACCTCGACTATAAGGAGAACCACCTCTACCTGAATGAGAACCACCGCTGCCACTCTGTACACCTCCTCTAGTAGGAGGCTGAGTAGCCCTGAAAGTCGAAGCATGAGTACCTTGATGTAAACCCCCACGTTTGGTCCTAGGGCAATCTCTCACAAAGTGCCCCATATCACCACACTCAAAACAATCCCTACAAGACGTAGGCTGATGAGAGGAACCTGAATGACCAGAATGTCATCCACGGCCTACATGTCTAGAAGATGAACCTTGTGTAGTATGCACCGAACTCGAAGAACTATGTCCAGCGTAACCAGCCTCAAACACTGGTATAACAACATGAATGAGTCTGCTAGACTGAGAGTGATAACCTCTCCCTATGTAACCTTGACTCCTAGGAGGAGCAGCACCATAATCACCTAAATGAAAGGTCATCTTGCCCTCACGCTGCTTAAATCCCTCGCGTCGAATCATCTCCAACTCTTTAGCAGTATCTACCACTTTCTGGAATGGAACACCGGAAGAAGCAACCTAAGAAACTCCCAGACGAATCGAAATAATCATCCCCTTAACAAACCTTCTCACTCTCTCAGCCTCTGTGGGAAGTATCATCGAAGCATGCCTAGCCAAGGCATGAAATTTACCCTCATACTCTGTGACTGACATACCATCTTGCTGCAAACTCTCAAACTCGGCCCTTTTGCGCTTCATCTCACTGCGTGGAACAAACTTGTTGAAATACCTGAGTAAACTGAGTCCAAGATAGTGGAGGGGATCCAGCTGGCATACTACTAATATAATCCCTCAACCACTGCTTGGCAGAGCCAGTTATATAAAATGTTGTATAGTCAACTCCACGAGACTCCACTAATCTAAGATTATGCAACCTCTCATGACAACTAACTATAAATTCATATACATCCTCGGTTAAGTCACCAGTATAAGTTGGAGGATTCATTAGTCTGAACCTCCCAAACATCTTTTGTTCATCAATGGTCATGGAAGGCTTGTTCGCCAAGTGTGATGCAATACCTGGCAATTCCATACTATCTAAACGGGGAGCTACAACAACAGCTAGTTGAGTCCCGAGAGTCTGAGAATCTGGAGCAACCATCAGATCTGGAGTCTGACCTCCAACACGGGTTTGTGAGGCATCAAAATTGACAGGCAAAGTTCCCGTCTGAGCCATCCCCTCTAGAAGTCCTAACATACGACCAAGGTATCTTGAAGAACTGGGGTGGCAATAATATTGGTTGGAGCCTGAGCTGGTCCATCCTCCTAGACACAATCCTAGACATCCCCATGAATAACATCTGCATCAAGAGGTACTGTCCTATCACGGCCCTGGGTAATTATTGGTACTTGTCCTTCCACGGGTGCTGCAATACGACCCCTACCCCGACCTCGTCCCCTGCTTCTACCTCGGATAGTGCTCCCAGAAACAGGCGCATGAATAGGCTCATGATCACCACTTGCAGATGTACGGGTCCTTACCATCTGAGAGAATGAGACATCAAGATTAGAATTTCAACAAGGTAAAGTGTGCACGATAAGGAATGAAAGAACAAAATTTTCTTAAATGTCCTATAGCCTCTCGAACATAGGTATGGATGTCATCGTACCAATTCACAAGACTCTACTAGACCTTGCTCTTGTACTCGTGAGACCGATGAACCTAGGGCTCTGATACCAAATTGTCATGACCCAAATTCACAGGTCGTGATGGCACCTATGTTCCCAACCAATAGGTAAGCCAACCCAACATATTTTATCAATTTTAACTAACTAAAGAGGTAAAATGTAAACAACGAGTAAAACATAATCTCCAACACTAAGTTATTTATAAATACGAAATGCAGAAAGCTAAAATACTACCCCTAGAATTGGTGTCATAAGTACAAGAGCTTCTGAAATATGATGCAAGTCTGAAACTAAAATGACAAATC